CCCCCCTCCTCCCCCCTCCTCCCCCCTCCTCCCTCTGGGATCTCGAAGTACAGGGGTGGGAGGAGAGGCCCCCAGACCCTGCTGTCCCTATGCCCTACTTGCGGGACTCCTGGGCCACTGCTGCCCCCCCGGAGTCAAGTGGAAGAGGTGAGGAGCACTTGGGTCTGGCTGTCCGGCCTCACACGTGCCGTGTCTCTTGGTGGCTGATGTTCCTTTCCGGCTGGTGCAGAGGATTCCACAGGAGGCCAAGCCTGCCTGTCTGGCCTGTCCGGCCCATCCAGATCTGCAACACGAGCAGCCCCCAAAGGTCCGCTGCAGTGAGGGGAGGGCATTGCAGGGAGTTGGCCTGGGGTGGCAGGGTGACTGGTTCCATGAGCCTTTGAGTGAGCGTTCACATCCACACCTACTGTTCCTGTGGCCACTGGAGCTGCTGGCCCAGCCACCCTCTACCTGGCCCAGGTGGGAAGCAGCCTCCTCACCTGTTGTGTCCCCAAGCATCCAGCTTCAGACCTTCTGGGAGGGCCATGGCTGGCCCCTGAGCTGGCCACCCGCAGGCCTTGTCCCTGGGGTCAGAGGCAGGACCCTTAACTTCTCAGAGGGGTGGAGGGGAGTCTGTGCTTTGAACCCACTGGGCCATGTGACTCCTGCTGTGTGTGCAGCCAGACTCACCTGCTCAGGGCCGGCTGCCAGGGACCCCAGGTGTCTAAGCGTCTGCTTCTCACCGGCCACACCCCCCGCCATAGTTTCTTTTGCCTTCCTCCTAAATTTGCATGGCAGAAACTTCCTTCTACAAATATTTGCCGAGCACCCACTGTGTGCCAAGCATTGTTCTAGGCAGGGGGTTGTTCAAGACAGACTGCAGGGCAGCCAGCAGCCATGACTGCGTCTTGGACCAGGACTGCCCTCTGTCTGCGTCACCTCCTCCACCCCAGCCAGATGGCTTAAAGCTCCAGGGGGTTTTGCCTCCTTTCACCTTTCCTCCCCCTGCCCTGCCCCAGGTGTGTGCAGATGTGGGGTGACTCCATTGCCCCATTTGATTGGGACCTCCCCCCCAATGACCAGCAGAAGCCCTTTTTCTTGGCATTCCACAGCACGCTGCTCCTGCGATGTTTTGTATAAGGTAGCCTTGCTCCTTGCCTCTAACTTATTCCTGGATACACAGAGGAAGCATGCAGTCCTCTTCCATTTTGCAAGTATTTGGAGCAGTGGAGCAGGAGAGACTGACTTGCCCCACATACCTAGTCGTTTCCTAGACATTGCTGTATCCTGGTGACTTAGGGACCTGACTGCACCTGGGGCTCACCTCTCTGGGTTCTGGCTGGCACGACCCTCCTTTTGAAGGTGCCTGGAGGGTGTCTTCGTGTTTTGTTTCCTCGTGGGGGATTTTGAATTTATGTCACTGGTAGTGGTTTGGAAGCTATAGCGCCCTGTGCCGGGTTTAGCAGGATAGAGTTAGAGTGAGCTCTGGCCATGAGAGGCTGGCCTGGGCCAGGCACGGTGGCTTTCGCCTGTAATCCCAGCACTTTGGGAGGCCGAGGTGGGTGGATCACAAAGTCAGGAGTTTGAGACTGGCCTGGCCAGCATGGTGAAACCCCCGTCTCTACTAAAAATACAAAAAATTAGCCAGGCGTGGTGGCGTGCCTATAGTCCCAGCTACTCGGGAGGCTGAGGCAGGAGAATTGCTTGAATCGGGGAGGTGGAGGTTGCAGTGAGCCAGGATTGCCCCACTGCAACTCCAGCCTGGGTGACAGAGCAAGACTCTGTCTCAAAAAAAAAAGAAAGGCTGGCCAGATGGGGAGGGGCCAACCGCCCAGGCTCCAGTGGAAGGCCCCCTCCCCTTCTCAAAATGCTCCTGGGTCCCTGGTTGCCACCCTCCAGGCCAAGGCAGTGGGAGGTGCTGTGCGGGGAATTCTGGCTGGAAAAAGCAGCCGTGTAATTACAGGTACTAGAAATAGTTCTGTTTCCCTTTCAGCCCTTTCCTCCTCTCCCCCCCACCAAAGAAAACAACAACCAAAAAATCCCCCAAAAATACAAAGCTGGAAAAAGCTCTTAAACCTTCTTAGTTTAGTCTGCCGCGGCGTCCCAGGCGGTGGGCCTTAAACATTTACATTCTTCGGGCTTAGCTGACTCCTGCAAGCGTCGAGTTTCTGGGTTGGTGGCACATTCAGGGTGAAGTAAGAGCTCTTTACAGAGAAAGCATGTCTGTGTGTTGGCGCTCTAGATGGCCTGGTGGCAGGGGGTAGGCTCCAAGCTCCAGGGCCCTTTCTTGGGAGAGAGCAGATCCTGTGGGATTTCACGTTAACTTGTCCTGACCTGTTGCTCATCACCTTGGTGCCCGATGAGAAGTGTCTCAGCAGCTCTGTTCTCCAGATCTTTACTGAACACTTACTGTGTGCCAATGATTCAGCTCAGAATGGGGAAGAGGGCATTTGAGAGGCTGATGAGTCAGTGAGGGAGTCAGGAGCTCACTAATGCTGTATTTCTTCACATCTGAAACCTGGCGACCGTGAGCTTCACCATCTTTTTTTAAAAAAATATGCTGCTGATTGTCACTGTCATGTGCCCTGGACTCCAGGACCAGCCTGATGGCAGAGATCTTAAGATGTGGATCACATGACTTCGAGCCGGCAGGGGAGGAGGACTCTGAGAGGCTGGGAGGCTGGCGGGGGGCACCGCAGAGATCACAGGAGAAGCTCTGTGGCGGCAGAAGCATCTTGGGTGGTGTTTTATGGGTAGAGCGGGGCTTGGGAATATGACAGCAGCGAGATGAATATGCAGAGGCGCCATTGACAAGTGATCCTGCTCTGGGCTCTCCAGTCACCTCTAACCTTATAGGGGACAACCACGATGTCGGTTTTACAGATGGGCCACGGTACCCCCCAGTGGATGTGTACCTGGGAACCACCCTGGGCAGGTGGCGTAGATCTGTGCACTCCCTGAGCGCCCATCCTGTAAGAGGCTTGAATGGCTCTTCATTAACCACCCACATTCCCAGGACTTAGCTCCTGGTGGTCGAGGCTGGCTCCCTCTTTGTCTTGGACTCCTCTCTGTGGCTTCTCTTTAACCAGCACTTAAAAATGCACCAGGCTGAGTGGGGTACCAGCATCATCTTGTCCCATCCCCACATCATCCCCCTGAGATGGGGTTAATTTTCCTGGTTTGCAGGTGGGGAAACTGAGGTTTGGAAAGTCTCTCAGGTTATAGCCAGGTTAGGGCAGAGCCGGGATTAGAACCCAGGGTTGAAGGCTCCAACACCTGTGCCTGTCTCTCCTTTCTGAACGTTTTCAGCAACTCTCCTTTGTTATTCCTGTCCCGAGAGGCACCTGCTCACCTGCATGGCCTGCTGCCTACTGGGCTCTTGGCCAGAGGCATTGAAAGCCCTAATCTGATGGTTCATTGAGGAGAGATGGCATCATGATGAGGGCTTAGGATTCGTCGCTGATGAGTTTTCTTTCGGGCCTCTGAAAAGTGGCATCATTGCCAGACAGAGGTGGGAGGTGGGCTGGGGAGAGTCAGGCCAGGACCACCTGCAGGTTCCACTGTGACTGGAATATTCTGGAGGCTCAGGAGAGCCAGCACACAAGGTGGCAGGTGTTGGAGAGCGACAGTGACTTGGAGATTGAGTCTTGCTCTGACCGGTCTGATGGTCAGCAGAGGGAAGCACCGCCTTAGGTCACCAGACACCTCCAGCCCGCACCCGCTCCACCCGCCCGGATGCTCTTCTCAGACTCTTTCTTTTGTTGTCTGGCTGTGTCAGACGTCTGGGCTCGCAGGGAGGTTCCTGAATGGGCCTTGGAAACAGGTCACTCCCTTCCCGTGCCGCCAGCACTGACCCAGATGTGACCTTCCCCGCAGTGACAGTGTCTGGCTGTCACTCTTTGATGCTGGTGGTAGACGGGCTGGGTGGCCACCCCTCCCCAGCTCTGGCCTTCGAGGACTCTGCCATCTCCACAGCCGCCTGCCGGACGTTCCTTCGCACTGCCGTGCTGGAGAGGGGTATCCACGGGGCCTCTGTCCCAGCGCTTGGCCTTTCTGCTCTCATGGAGTGCCCTGGCTGGGCTGGCAGCTTTGAGGGTCTGGATGAAACAGACTAGTTCCCGCTGAGCCGAGGGGGGCTGTGGCTCTACTGGGCCCCTCTCTGGCCCCAGCCCCTTGGCAGGGTGCTCAGCAGTGGATGTGCCTTCTGTGGGGTCTCTGGGGACTTTCCACGTCTCCCCCTGGCTGGCTGTGGAGCCTCCCTTGGAGTCGTTGGCAGAGATCTCAGGGGATCTCAGGGTGCTCACCCTGGCACTGGGTATCAAGGCTGACCTTGAAGGTCAGAAGCCAGTGGTGGACCATGCTGCCCTCATGGCGGGGCCTGGAGCCCTGTCCACACGCAGAGGCTTCATTGGAGCTCAGTGTTTAGTCTTCGTGGAATCCAGATGTGAACAAAGTGGAGAAGGGAGGATGCCAGACGCACCTGCCCACATGGAGACGGTCTCACCCGTGACTGCCGCCGCATCTTCAGGCACCAAGAGCCCATGCTGGGCAGATTCTGGGGCTTCGGCCTTTGGAGGGCCTCCAGGTGGCTGGTCCTCCGGGCCTCAGGGAGACGATGCCATGTCATTCTGCTGCTAGCTTCCTGGGTGGTGGGGAATACATTTCTACTGCTGTCGTCCATGGACGGCAGGGGCTGCATCAGGTGGGACCTTGGAACCAGGGCCTTCTCCCATCCCTTCCTCCTGGATCCGTCCTATCTGTGGCCCATGCAAAATTCCAAGGGTCTTTTCCTACAGGAAAGAGAGCCAGGGTGCAGGCCCCAAGGAGGTGGGACATGTGCAGGTAACTACCCAGAGCTCTCCTTGACAGCCCAAACTCGGGCAGAGGAACCCGTCCTGGGGGCAGCGTACATCTCTCCATCACAGTCACACCTCTTTTCCTTTTGTTTTTATTTTGAAACAGCCTCGCTGTGTCTCCCAGGCTGGAGTGCAGTGGCACGATCTCAGCTCACTGCAACCTCCGCCTCCCAGGTTCAACAATTTCTCTGCCTCAGCCTCCCAACTAGCTGGGACTATAGGCATGTGCCACCATGCCCGGCCAATTTTTGTATTTTTTGTAGAGACATAGTTTCACCATATTGGCCAGACTGGTTTTGAACTCCTGACCTCATGATCCTCCCGCCTCAGCCTCCCAAAGTGCTGGGATGACAGGCATGAGACACCACACCCGGCAGTTCACACCTGTTTTTCTAGGTTTTTCAGTCTGTATCTTTTTTGTATGCCAGGGTGGAGACCCGTATTTCTGGTAGCTAATCACTTCTTTTTCTCTTCCAGTAAGTGGGCGCCTCTGATGCAGCTGGAATGGGCCCCAGGTGGGAGGGACTTTGTCCTTACCACCACATGGAGCCAGCACATAGTGGGACTCACAGCTCTTGGTGACATCAATGAATTGTGTCCCGATTAGCCGCTGGCGGTATGCCGCCTGCAGCTCTGCTCTGCAGCAAGATCTGCCACGATCCTGTGGCTCAGCACGTGGTAGGTCCTCATTGAGGCTGTGATGAGGACTGTGGGGGTGTCTGGTGCCTGGTGCAGGTCCCTTGCTGTCCTCCGTGGTGTCTCTCTGTGCCTCTGGAGGGTTGGTAGAGGGCTGTGGGCCCGGGACTCGGTGTGTCCGACGAGGAAGCCAGCTTGGGTAGGGAGGGGAGTCAAGACAAAAGCCTGGTTGTGCCCTCGGAGAAAACCCAAACCTGGGTTTCCCTGAGGCTGGAACTGCCAGCACCCGGCCTGTCTTGTTCCCATAAAGGGCACTTTGTGTGTGGCTCCTGGCAGGAGGCGGCGGCCAGCCAGCATCTCCTGGAGCCCAGACTCTCTCTGGGAATGAGCACAGCCACCTCCGAGCCACAGCTCGCTGTGACGAAAACCCCTGTGGCCCTGGACTTCTGAGAGCTGACACCAGCCAGACAGTTGTGTTTGGGACCAGCCTGTTTCTCGTGCCGTGGAGCCAGCATGGTCTTGTCGGATCCGGACCAGACACATTCATTTTTGGAAAACGGAGTGGGGTGGGAGAGCGGGGACACCTGGCCTGGTGGGCTGGTGGATTGGAGGCACTTTCGAGCTGGTCTGTGGTGGGCAGGAAGCCCCATCAGGAGGCAGAGACACTCACTGGCTGCTGCCTCCTGAATGGACAGCCGGTGTGGGCTCAGCACGTGGAGCCAGACGAAGCTTCCTCTGCTCCCACTGCAGGCTGGGCTTCCCCCAGCCGGGGCACTGGGCATCCAAGAAGACCTGTGCTGTGCCATCCGGCCTGAGCCAATGCCCCTGTCCCCCACCTCCGCCAGTACAGGTGGAGAGCTGTCCCCGCTCCCTGGGTCTCGCCAGCCCTGCATGCTGGGGATGGTCTGGGCTGTGTAGGATTGAGCTCTTGCCACTTCTGGGGACTGAGTTCGCAAGGAATGAGGGCCCTGGATGGCTGACCTGGGGCAGGAGAGCTTTAGATCCAGTGGGGAAGGTTCCATAGCAGGTCAGGGACAGAGAGATGGATGCCTGCCCACCTTCTCAGAAAAGTGATGTGGGAGACCCTAGGCCCTGCTTTCATGGGAGTGGCGTTTCTGCAGAGCATGGTGGTATGGGCAGGTGGCACCGTGGAACAGAGAGTCACTCAGCAGGCACGTACCGAGCACTTACTCTGTAAAAGGCCCCGAGACACAGCGTGAACAAGACCGAGTCCCAGCCCCCGTGCTCTCATGGGGGACAGGCCTTAAGTAGATAACCAAGTGAATGTCAACATTGTGAAGTACCGTGGGGAAGCTCAGAGCATGGCATGGGGGCAGAGGACGTTTGCCACTTGGGCAGTATGGCTGAAAAAGGCCTTAGTGACATGGTGACCTCGTAGCAGAGCCCTGAGGGAAGTTGGGAAACGGCCACCTGGGGCCTCAGGTTCTGTGTGCCCAGAACCAGGCAGAGGACGTGGGAAGTGCAGAGATCCTGAGGCAGGAGCTTGGCAGGTGCCAGGAACAGCCGGAAGGCCAGTGGTGCAGGCAGGAGAGCATGGGGGAAGGAGCTGACAGAGTGTCCTGGGTCCTGGCCAGGAGGAATGTGGGCTCCCTGAGGTCAGAGTGACCTGTCCCACTCCACCCCTGCATGTCCCTCAGTCCATCTGTCCCCTGGAGGTTGGCTGGGCCAGCTGCTGCATGGGGAGGTCAGGTGGAATGCTCTCAGTGGGGCTGAGTTTACTCTTCCCTGCCTTTTATTGGTTGGGGCTTTGGTGCTCATGAGAAGACTTCTTGAATAACAAAGAACCATCCCGCAGGACCCTTGGAAAGGTCTGCGTTTGTTCCCAGCACCACCCGGAGGGCTGGGCAGGTTGCTTTTCTGATCCTGTCTCCCTGTGCGGTGGAGGTAGAGACACTCGAGGCCAGTCAGACCTGACCCCGTGGAAGCTCTTGAAGGCTCTGAAGGGGCCACAGAAAAGTCAGTGGGTGTCGGAGGAGTCCCCTCACACCACCCGGGCACAGCAGCTAAAGGCATGACCAGAGGGGACGTGGAGGCGGGAGATTCACCTCATGACCACCAGGGTCGCTGTCTGCATGTGGCCAAATATTCTCCCTGGTGGTCCGGCTGGGTGGGCTCCAAGTAGGAGGTGGGGTGAGAGTCTGAGAGCCCCAGGGAGCTGGGGGGACCACAGGCCTTGCAGTGGCTCCTGTGCCACCTTCCAGAAGGAAGCCATTTGGTCAGCTGCCTCCAGAGAAAAACAGCAGCCTGATCATCAGCCGTCTTCCCTCCCACTGGCCGAGCAGACATGGTGAGCCAGCCGCTTCTGAGGGGCTTCCTCATTCCTGCAGTTTAGACTGCGTTGGATTAACTGGAAAGACTTATTGCCTCTGAGTCAAAACACAAAAATCCCCCTGAATGCACCAGGGTGTTTGCTGCCAGGGGAGCAGCTGGCGCCTTTTTTTGGTGGCAGTGGTGGGGGGGACCCTAACCCCTTCTTTCCTGCTTACAGCCCTTTCCAGTCTTCCAGATTGGAGAGGAAACTGGTCCCAAGAACCCCAGCCTCCTTGTACTGGGGGGTCGTGGCTTAGGGGCAGGCGCTCAGGGCGGGCATTGGGATGGTTCCTCATTCTTAGATGCATCTCCTGTCGTTTCCCGAGGAAGAGACGGGCACCACCCCCTATACCCACGAGCAGCGCTTCCGAGGGTCCCAGGGTGGTCCTCTAAGCCCATAGCCTCCAGAGCGGCCGCTCATAGGAAGATCCACCCCAGTGTGGGCAGAAATTGGTAGCTATTTTTATCTCATCTGGTTTCATTTCTATTTTGGGGATGTGTGTTTCGTAATGTATATAATCTATTGATACAGAAGCATGTGAGTATCACATATGCATGAGTGTGTAAGTCTTCGGCCGGCACATGCTTAAAAGTCGATCGCCAGTCAGAGAATGATAGCTACTGGAGATGGGGTTCTGGTGTGTGAAGGGAAGGGGGTGTCACCGGGGGTCCGGGAAAGGCTGCACCATGGGGAATGCACCTTACAAGGCAGAGCAGGCGGACGGGGAGGGCAGGGTTGGGCACGGGCTGGGCAGACAGCGGCATCTGAGCACTTGTCTGTGTTTGAAGAGCCGCTGGCCCCCCCAGTGCACCCGGATCCAGGCACTTGAGTCTTGGGGGAGTTTCGGGGAGAGATTTGACCCCTGTTTCTTCACCATTTCCCAGGGTCTCAACCACGATGAGCACACTTTAAGGGCGAGATGGTAACTGTTGAGGCTTGGTAGACCACATGGTGTCTGCCGAAACGACTCAGCTCTGTTTGGAGCATGAAAGCAGCCACAGACAACATGTAAACCGTGAGCCTGGCTGTGTGCCAATAAAGCTTCACTTCCGGAAGTAGACGGCGGGCCACGTTTGGCCTCTGGGTGTGATTTGGCCAACCCTGGTCTAGATTTAAGAGGATGGGCCCTAATGGGGCCTAGGACCAGCCTCAGTTTCTCACCAAAGTGCAGGCCACTGTCTTTGGATTCGTGGAGTGTGCCAATCACACTTAGGCTTTGGGAGGATTTCGGGGGCACGGCGTGGACTTTTCAGAGAGTTTGCTTAGCTGGAGCAGGTGATACACAGCCATTATATCACATGGTAAACATCTCAGCTCTGCCACACACCGTGACACCCCCTCCTTTAGAGCCAGATGAACACACTGTGTGGAGGATTCCGTACAGGGGCCAAGGGAGGAGGCGGCGCCTGGCTCATCAATAGAATCTTGAGGCCGCCGAGCCAAAGACATTCGGAGGTCCCCTAGACTGTCATCTCTCATGGTGTTCGCAAAGATGTGCTCCAGGAAGAATGTCCCTGTTCTTCAAGTTTGGGAACTGCTACAGTTGAACAGAACCCTTGAGTTTCTGCCCTGCAGGACTTCCCAGAGCCTTTAAGATGCTGATGCACTTTATGACTCTCTAGAAGGGGATAAATGTTTCCCCCCACTCAGAAATGATTTCAAGTGCTTTAAGACTCTGTCAAGGCCACTTTGGGGAAGAGCTGATTTCTTTCAACGCTTTATTTTATAAACAGGGACTCTAAGGCCCAGAGAGGTAAACGTCTCATTCGGGGTAACCCAGAGGCTGATGAGCGAGTTGGGATGAGTGTTGAGCTCCCGCTGACTGCCTCCCTTCTGGCCTGGGAGAGCCAGGGAGTTGACCCCAGGTTGCACGTGCTGGGTTCTAGGTAGTGCTTCTGGGCACACGAAGGTGGTTTTGTCCTAAGAATACCCTGCATCCTTTCACCTAAAGCCCACTCTGCGTCGGGGCTTCCCGGCACTGCTGTGGCACCGTTGCCATAGGGCAGGGGAATTGTCCATGTGGGGCCTGTGCCGGGCATTGCTGGGTGTTTAGCAACATCCCTGGCCCCCACCCACCAGATACCACCCCACATTGTGACCACCAGACGTGTCTCCAGACATTGCCAAATGTCCTGGAGTAGAGAAGGGAGGGTGGTAAAATCACTCTGGTTGAAAACCACTGCTCTGCCCAGGCACGGTGGCTCACATCTGTAATCCCAGCATTTTGGGAGGCTGAGGCAGGCAAATCACAAGGTCAGGACATCAAGACCAGCGTGGCCAACATGGTGGAACCCCATCTCTACTAAAAGTACAAAAATTAGCTGGGTGTGGTGGTGTGCGCCTGTTGAGGCAGCTAAATCAGGAGGCGGAGGTTGCAGTGAGCCAAGGTGACGCCACTGCACTCCAGCCTG